AAAAGGATTTTACGGTGAGTACCAAAATCCTATTTTTCTGGAGTTCTGCTTCAGTGCTTTGGTAACATGAAATTACTTGTTTCCTGTTTTTTTCCTTAGTGTGTTTTTTATAATGTTTTTTTCATTTCAGCTACTCCAACTTCTAAAGAAGTCCTACGTTATTGAAGAATTTAAAGTTTGTGACATTTTCAATAAATTTTACGGAGAACTTGCAGTTAAAACTAAATTGTCAGACACAGGTGAAATATTTGTTAACTGATACTAAAAAAAGCATCTAATTTTAAGTTTAAAAAAATCACTTTTTCTCAGTTTAATCAGTAAAAAAAAAATGTCAGCATAGATATAACGTCTTATTTTAATTTTGCAATTTGTCCTTTGCATTTTGACACTGAAACGTCCGTGTAAAAAAAACACAAAAGAAAATCACAAAGAAGAAACTGCCTATAACTTCTTAATTGCAGATGAAGACATTGTATTGTTTGTATTTTGGCTGACACTGCCAGGGAACAGCTGTTATTACTTCTAATTAGGGCTGGTAATGATTAAAAATTTCCTGTTCGATTAATCGAGATTTTTTTTAATCAATTAATTTCGATTAATTATAACGCACATACACATCCAACTACATTGGCCTATACACATACAGCAGGCAGCAATAAAGTAATAAAATGAACTAGGATCACACTAATCCAGCACGTTATTAATCTCACGTGCCCCACTCAATATGGCCGCCGTTTGAGTGGGGCAACTCAGAATAATAACGTGCTGGATTAGTGTGATCCTAAATGGCTGAAATAACTACAAAGATCAACTATGCTACACAGAGTAGGACCTACATTGTCAAACTGACAGCAAGTCATGGCAAAATGAGCTTTTTCTTTTTATATTTTTATTTTACACTTGACAGTATTTGATGAATAAAGGATACAACAGTAACTTTAATACATCAAAAAAGGTAGCGCAGGACTGGACTGTCGCATTGGATGGTAAGTCCTGCAGTACAGGAGTACCTACCTTACAATCTTTGTGTAGTCAGAGAAGCTATCACTTTGACAGCTTTTTGCTGTACTCTGTTTCTCCAGAGCGCACAGAGTCACTGATGCAGATCAAGCAGATGTCACACTAATAGGGAGCTCTGCTGATTACTTAAAGCAGGGGTGTCAAACTCAATTTAATCGAGGGCCGCATCAACATTAAGGTTGCCCTCAAAAGGTATCTGTAAGACTATATATATGTATCTAATCTTTATCATAATTGCCTCTGCATTCGATTATCACTGGTTTTAGTAATCACTTAATACCTAGATCTGAAAGTAGAAGTCTAGGAAATGGCCTGGTGGGCTGGCTTCGGCCCCTGGGCCTTGAGTTAGACACATGTGACTTAAAGAGAGCAGCACTCTTACTATTTATCTGCAGGGCTGATCTTTCAGCTTGACAGCTCTTATCTGCACAGTGCAGGAGATGGTCTAGCAATGGGGAAACAGGAGAGGCTTCCACCATAGCTCTGCCCCCAGCACAGTGTCTAAGGCCTCCTGAACCTCACCCTCATCCCAGCCCTGTTTTGATGCCCCATAAGCTCCACTGCATAAAACTTTTCATAGCTGCTTTCAACTGGTTAAACAATGAACACAGTTACTGGATTTCTAAAGCCCACTGTCATGTTTATGTACTCTTGATGATGTCCCGTCAAGCATTATTGTTTCAGAGGTCTATACACTGAATTAAAATATATTTATTTCTGTCTCTTTAAGTTCTGGAGAAAGTCTATGAGCTTCTAGGAGTTTTGGGAGAAGTGCAGCCCAGTGAAATGGTGGACAATTCTGAGAAACTATTTAGAGCTTATTTGGGAGAATTGAAAACTCAGGTATCATCCTAACTCTTTTTAGCAAGTTTTGATTGCTAACGTTGATGATAATATTGCAATTGAAATCTATTCGATGGGTTGATTTTTTTATTTGTTCAGAGGCCATATAGGAAAACTGGCTCTATTTTCCATCTAGCATTTTCTTTTGTGATCTTTTAATGCAAAATCAGTTTCCAGTACATTTTTGTGCATTAAAACAAAAATACACATGGAGTACTGTATGTCTGTTCTTGTCCTTTATCCCACCTGTTCAGTACTTCATTTTCATCTAAGTATTGCTGTAGTGCCCTAGTTTACCACAACTCCCTTTTGCAGATCATTTGGTGATCTGTCTGCCTTAGATGCAGGAGATATTCCAAAACATACTCATTGTAGACTCCAAATTCACTCCTTTGATATTTTAATGTTATTGGTGATCTGAGAAGCAGAAAGAAAAGAATTTACACGGCGCAAGCTTTGGAAAGTATGCGCCTGGTATCCTTGTGAGGTTCTCTTTGGATTTTGGTTGCAGTGGATTACAAATCATTCAGATTAAGCAAATGTTCTGGTTTCAGCACAGTTGCAATTTTTTCAGAATACATTTTAGTAGCTCACGATTAGGTTTACTTGTTGCGTGGAATTGTTCTTTTTAGGCGTAATGTACTATCCTATAATAAATGTGTTATTGACCATAACTGTTTTAATTGTCAGGCATGTTATCAGCTTTTATTGCTCAAAATAACAAAAATTGTGACTATGACAATCTTAATAGTGATAATCTTTGTAGTTTTGTGGATTGAGCCTTTACATTATATTGCAAGAAATATGCTAAATTGTTATTTTGGATTATTATTTTATTATATAAACTTTGACCTAATTCTAAAGATGACATCCTTTCTGATTTTTCTGTCTTGTTCTTAGATGACTTCATCTACTAGAGAGCCAAAGCTGGCAGTGGTAGCTGGATGTCTGAGGGGATTGTGTGCACTTCTGATTAACTTTACAAAATCCATTGATGAAGGTAGTCTTTTGTACTGATATGTAATCTTTTTTAATTTATTATTAACTTTTTTGTTTTAGTAAGGTCGAGGCCGAGATAAAAAAAAAGAGAGTCGCTGCTTTTCTTAAACATTTATTTGCATATTGGTCAATAATTGTAAGAACACAAGTCCTCTAATTCAGACACAGAAGATCTCTGCTCCTGACTTCTGTGTAGCAGATTACAGGCTGGTATATAGCTTATTGCAAACCTCCATGCAGGTTTCTCTAGCTCTGAAAAGGTTACCTATGCCAAACATTTCCAACTATATGGTTCTTTCTTGCATACTTTAGAGAAATTAAAGGAAACATATATATTTGTTTTATATTGTGTGCTATACTACTAATCAGGAACCGCATATGTGTATATTTCAAAAAAAGCTTTAAAGGTGAAGTATTTGGTGGTTCATTTTGCACCGCTTCCCTAACAGCGCACACCAGTGACCATGCTGTAGAGCACACTGCTGGTTTGAAATGATCCTTACACCGTATTCCTCTACCCCTGGACTTTGGCTGGCCATACACTTTTCTATTTTTCTCGTTCAACCCACGGGGGGAACTAAAGAAATAAAGCAGATTCCTCCATCAATGCTACGAGTGTGTCGACTGAGGAATCCCCGCTGTTTGCATGGTATTATCACAACGGCCGCTGTCAGAATACCCGACCAAAGCTGGCAGCTCATTGGCTGCCGGCTCTGGTCGTACAAAGGTTTTCTGACCGGCTCCTTCAATCAGCTGCGGGGGCTTATTTGCATCTTGTGAATTAGTAAGGGGTACTTGTACTCATTCACTAAAGGGTTAAATTCAAAGTAAATAAACAAACCAGATTTTTGATAAAATCCTTTAATTGAAAAAAAAAACAGAGAGTACATTTTTAACTATTCCTTTAAATAAAAAAATAAACAAAAATGTCTCCATCGATGTAACCCAGCGTCAATCACGATGCACGGCGCCCGCCGACCTGCCGAAATAAAAAAAGTCCCGCCGCACGACGACCGTCCGAACCCGAAGAAAACTCGCTGCAAAATGACATCTCCTGTCCGAAAGTAAACAAATGGGCGGAGCGAGCCGTGACGTCACGGTTTGCTCCGCCCATTTGACAGTCTCAGCTGTCAAATATAACATAGCATTCGTGAGCTACCGAATGCCATTCGGGTCTGTGAGCAGAGGTGTCCTAATACTTTTCATATGCGACGAACGAAAAGAAACGACAATTCGTACAGACTACCGCTAATGAATTTCGAAATCGGAAATCTGGTTTAGTTTGCAATTCTGTAATTGTTACCTTATTACCAGGAGGTAAATATATAGCAGATCATAACTTGAAATAGTAATTCAGGTGACAGAATACATCCGAATCTCCAAATGTCTGAAATTTCATCCGAATTTTGATTCAGAACGAAACGAATCGCACATATCTAATGAATATGCCTTTTATATATTTGAATATTGCACAGGCTTGCATCCTATAGAGCAGTGGTTCTCAACCTTTCTAGGGCCAGGACCCCTTGGTAACATTTGCCAAGTTGTGATGACCCCCAACCGAGCACTGGACTCAGGACTTAGTAATGCACTGGATTCAGGACTTAGTAATGTACAGGACTTAGTAAGGCACTGGACTCAGGACATAGCAACACACTGGACTTAGAAATAAAAATAGAAGCACACTCACAAGAATGCAATCCCTCCCCAGCCCCTGCTACCTGCTTGCCTGCTCTGTCTCCATGCAGCCTTCTCAGCCCCAGCACTGCTTAGACGCCCGCCTCCTGCAGAGCCCGCACTGTATGGGAGGCAGGAGGACAACAACGGCCGTGAATAGAAAAGTCCTGCTGTAACCTTGGTAACATTTGCCAAGTTGTGATGACCCCCAACCGAGCACTGGACTCAGGACTTAGTAATGCACTGGATTCAGGACTTAGTAATGTACAGGACTTAGTAAGGCACTGGACTCAGGACATAGCAACACACTGGACTTAGAAATAAAAATAGAAGCACACTCACAAGAATGCAATCCCTCCCCAGCCCCTGCTACCTGCTTGCCTGCTCTGTCTCCATGCAGCCTTCTCAGCCCCAGCACTGCTTAGACGCCCGCCTCCTGCAGAGCCCGCACTGTATGGGAGGCAGGAGGACAACAACGGCCGTGAATAGAAAAGTCCTGCTGTAAACACTCCCCGGCCACTAGATGTCGCTGCAGCGGCACTTTTATATTCACAGCCTCTGTTGTCCTTTCACTGACTGACACTGCTGCGCAAGGAGGAGGCTGAGGAGGCTCTAACCCAGCGCAGCAGAAATGGACGCGGCGACCCACTCAACAATGGGTTGCAACTCACTTTTGGGTCGCAACCCACAGGTTGAGAACCGCTGCTATAGAGCTTACTCTACAGCTCAGGGAGTTAACTGTGCTGGTACTGCTACTGTCCACAATAGAAAGTCAGAACAAATCTGTCTTCTTCCTGCATCGTCCACTGTGACAAAGGGACGGGCACCTGTTTCATCAGGTGAATGGAGCTCTCTATAGTGTCACAGAATCCAAACAATTTTCATAGCTAATGGAGCAAAGGAAGAAGATGAAACTGGGTCAGCCGGAAAATGGGAACACAGTATATTAAGCATCAACTACTATGTGCTATTAACATGTTGCTGTTTTGTTTTTTTTACAGATGCCAAAGCCTCAAAAGAGATTTTTGAGTACATGGTGAAAGCAATAAGCCCACAGGTATATCTATATAATATTGTTTGTTTGTTAACCAAGGTATCTTTTTTTTTTTTTTTTATATATATATTTTAAATTATGTGTGTCTCCCTCACAGATTGAGTTGAAGAGATATGCAGTCCCTGCAGGTGAGATTTATTTTGTTGATCAGGGGAGGGGTGATTTGTAGTCTTTAAGGTGCCCATACACTGCACGTTTCTTGTACGAGAATCGCGGGAAATCCCGCGATCGTACGATCGTGCAGTGTATGTAAGGCTAACCATTAAATATATTCCCCTCCGATACTGAATTTTGGTTCCTGACAACCTCACAAGTTAAGTCTTTACAAATATTTTAAATTATGTGTGTCTCCCTCACAGATTGAGTTGAAGAGATATGCAGTCCCTGCAGGTGAGATTTATTTTGTTGATCAGGGGAGGGGTGATTTGTAGTCTTTAAGGTGCCCATACACTGCACGTTTCTTGTACGAGAATCGCGGGAAATCCCGCGATCGTACGATCGTGCAGTGTATGTAAGGCTAACCATTAAATATATTCCCCTCCGATACTGAATTTTGGTTCCTGACAACCTCACAAGTTAAGTCTTTACACCTCCATGCTGCAATAACATGTGATATTGCGTATTAGTGTGATGAGGTGTCATGCACCTTGCCAACAGACATGCATCACAGCACAGTTGGTTTAAAAGGATCCTTTGACCTTATTCCTCCACCCCTGGACTTACTAGTACACCATCATTCCTTCATTAAAAAACATCTTTATTGACATTGGTTGAGCATTATATCACCAACATAAAACGACATTTTAGTGCCTTAATCAGGCATTACTGTATGTTGCACTGCACTGCCAAAAAGTATACATGTACCTTTTTTTGTGTGCATTAGGTATCCATTGAAATGAATGAGCTGCCTAATGTAATGAATGTTAACATGCACAATCGAGCAACACAACTCTTAGCAAATCCTATGTAGGGTAGTTGAAAGCATTGCTCTCTCAACTGCCATTGTTCCTGTCAGTTAATGTTTTTTGTTTTTTTTTCTCTGAAAGACTGGGTTGTAATTTGCCTTTGAATTCTGACATGATTTACCTAATTTACACTTGCACTCTTGCATTTAGTATATTTAGATTCAGGAGCAATTATCTGGGAAGAATAAACAACCCCCCCCCCACCCCTTTGCATGCACTACTTTTTTACTGCACATAGCAGGAGGTGCTTTAGGGTGCCATTTAAATTAAATGATCTGCAATACACCAGCGTCCCTAACTTGTGGTGCATTGCGCTGTACAATAGTGTGCGCTAAATGCACTGATGCCATGCCTTTAGAGCAACATAATGGTTTTAATGGACCCTTAGGGCTTGTTCACAACAAGCGCGGAGCAGATCCGGACCAGAGCAGGTGCAGACCGGATCAAAACTGCGTCCAATGTATTCCTATGGTATTTTGACCTCCAGTTCACATTGCAGCGTGCGGATCCAGACCAGATCCAGACCGGATGAAAAAAATGCGGCAAGCCCTATTTTACCTGCTCTGGATCTGGTCTGGAACGCATCAAAAACGCATGCAAGTGCCTTAAAGTCCATGTTAAACTTTTTTTTTTTTTACCAAAACCGGCCCTAAACGCGTCTAAAACGCGGCACAACCCACTACACTGCGTGTTCAGAAACCTGACCGGATCTGGTCTGCATTTGGTGTGAACAAGGCCTTTTTTTTTTAAAGTTTAACATGGGCTTTCAGGTAATTGGATTTTGGACACAGAGAATTTTGTATTCTCTAAATGCAGCTGAACTGAATGGCACTAAATGTGGGTAAACATTCAGTCTGAATGATACCTTTGAAAAATCATTACCTACATTTATATGTGTTTACAGTACATTGCTCAAAATGCATATAAATGCAGGTTTGACACTGCAAGTGGAAATGAGGCTTTATTTAAAAAAATTTAAACGGGAGCATGTTACCCAAAAAGCTATTACAGAGAATATAGAGCAATTTAGGTAGTGTGAATAAACATTATCAGTAAAAATGATTACATTGGTTTTATCTTGCACTTCCCTGTTTCTATTTTGTAGTTTAATGTTTTTTCTGTTTCTTTTCAGCTGGTTTAAATATTATGGCCCTTCATGCTTCCCAGTTCAGTGGTTACCTCATAGAGAATTATCGGTCCCTCTTTGAAGTATTGTCTAGGTGGTGTGGCCACTCCAATCATGAAATGAAAAAACTTGCATTTGTAGCTTTGGAATCCTTTTTAAAACAAGTAAGTTTCTTTCATGTAGATCAGTGGTCCCCAACCCCCGGGCCGCGGACCGGTACCGGTCCGTGGATCAAATGGTACCGGGCCGCGGTCCGGTCATGCAATATATGGCAGTGCACGGTCCCGGTGTTCGAACACCGGGGCCCCGCACTGCCGACGGGCTTCACAGTGAGGGGGCGGGTCCTGTGACTCACCTCCCCTCCCGGCCGCAGATGACAAACTGTATAAACAATTTGAAGCAAATACACCAGAAGGCTACCCCTGTACTGCAAGGGTTAAAGTGATATTAAGGCCTTGTTCACACCAAGTGCGGACCAGATCCAGAGCAGGGCAGGTGCAGACCGGATCAAAACTGCGTTCAATGTATTCCTATGGTATTTTGAGCTCCAGTTCACATCGCAGCGTACAGATCCAGAGCAGGTGAAAAAACTGCGGCAAGCCCTATTTTACCTGCTCTGGAACGCATCAAAAACGCATGCAAAACGCATCAAAAACTCATGCAAGTGCCTGAAAGCCCATGCTAAACTTAAAACATTTTAACCAAAAACGGCCCGGAATGCATCAAAAACGCGGCACAACCCACTGCACTGCGTGTGCAGAAACCTGCCCGGATCTGCTCTGCATTTGGTGTGAACAAGGCCTTTTTTTTAAAAGTTTAACATGGGCTTTCAGGCACTTGCATGCGGTTTTGCATGCGTTTTTGATGCGTTCCAGAGCAGGTAAAATAGGGCTTGCCGCAGTTTTTTCACCTGCTCTGGATCTGTACGCTGCGATGTGAACTGGAACTCAAAATACCATAGGAATACATTGGACGCAGTTTTGATCCAGTCTGCACCTGCTCTGCTCTGGATCTGCTCCGCGCTTGGTGTGAACAAGGCCTTAAGCTTGCAGATCTGTTTTTTTTTTTTGTGGAGGCATCTCGTTCACGGCCGTGCCTGCAAGTGGTTATGCGCGTCCATAGACACAGCCCTGCGGCAGACCATACCCCTCCTCTTTGCCCCACAGCTTGATTGACTGCAGAAGCAGCCTATTGCTCCTCTGCCCTCAATCTCCACCCCCGCAACCAGGAAGTGCGGGACGAAGGATCCCTCGTGGGAAATGGCCGATACTTAAGAACAGGCAGCGATGCCTGTTACCATACAAGCGATCTGCCGGCTATGGAGCCGGATGTGTGTATGTGATAGCAATAAAGTTTAGTGAAAAAAAAATTAAAGTTCCCCCCCACGAAACTTTTTAAAGTTATGCATAAAAAAAGAATAAAAAAACAAAAAAAATGTTTTAAGTCCCCACCGATACATACATGCATGCAAACATGCGTCGGGGGCGCATACGTGAAAAAAACGTTGATTGTGCCCATTACGCCGCACATGTTACATATCGCCGCGAACGTCACAGTGAGAGAAATCATTCTAGGGCCATCAATCACTGATAACACTAAACTGATGAGCTGTAACAGCTTTTAAAGCGTCGCCTATGGCCAGTTTTGGGTATGGTAGTTTTCTTCGATTTTGCAGGTGCGCGCAATTTTAAAGCTTGACATGTTTGGTGTCTATTTACCCGACGTGACCCCGACTTTGATATTTTACCAAGAAACTGGGTAATAATAAATGTTTCCTAACATAATGTAAAAAAAAAACTATTTTTTTCAAAATTTTCAGTAATTTTTCCTAATTATAGTAAAAAATAAAAACCACAGTGGTGATTAAATACCACCAAACACAAATTCATTTCAGTACAGCGTTGTATGACAGAATAAATGTCAGTCAAAGTACTGCAGCGCTGAACACTGAAAAATGGCCTGGCCAGGAAGGGGGTCTAAACACCTGGTCAGCAAGCAGCTAAACAGTTAACTGAGCTAGCTAGAACTAGTTCCTGGGGGAGTCTATTCCACATTTTCACAGCTCTAACTGTGAAGAATCCTGTCCTTATGCAAAGGTTAAACCTCTTTTACTCCATATACAAAGAGTGCCCCCTTGTCCTTTGCAGTGACCTTAACGTGAATAATTTGGCACCAAGCTCACTATATGGACCATTTATGTATTTATACATGCTGATCATGTCCCCCATTAATCGCCTCTTCTCCAGAGAGAACAAATTCAGGTCAGTTAATCCCTGCTCTTAGCTGAGCTCCTCCATGCTTCTTATGAGTTTGGTCGCTCTTCGCTGCACTTTCTCCAGTTCCACAACATCCTTTTTGTGAACCGGTGCCCAAAACTGAGCTGCGTATTCCAGATGAGGTCTTACTAATGCTTTGTACGGGGGCAGGATTATGTCTGTCTCTGGAGTCTAGACCCCTCTTAATACAAGAACGTGTTTTGGTTGCTTTAGAAACTGCGGCTTGACATTGCATGCTATTATTCAGTCTATGATCTACCAGAACACCCAGATCTTTCTCCACCATTGACTCCCCCAAACATACTCCCCCTAGAGTGTATGAAGCATGCATGTTTTTAGTCCCCAAGTGCATAGCTTTACATTTATCAACATTAAACCTCATTTGCCAAATAGATGCCCAATCACACAGTGCATGCAGATCTGCTTGTAGGTTGGAGACATCCTGTAGGGACTGTATTCCACTACATAACTTGGTGTCATCTGCAAACACAGAAATAGTACTTTTAATCCCCAACTCTATATTATTTATAAAAAGATTAAATGGCCTTTTCTTATTCTTTATGGCTTTTTTAACTTTGGATATCAGCCACATGGGTTTTACTCTTTGCCTTTTAAACGTATTGATTAAAAGATTATATTTTGCAGTATGTTTGTGAACGATTAATTTGAAACATTCCTGTGTTTGTTCTCTGTTTTTGGATATATTCCCTCCCAGTTTAAGTCTTGAAGGGCAGCCCTCAGCATGGGAAAATTTGCTCTCCTGAAGTCGTGTTTTTATTTTTCCAGTATGTGAATGTTGTTTACAACTTAAGCGACATGAAATCATATTATGGTCATTGTTACCCAGATGTTTTTTCATATGAACGTTTGAAATAAGCTCGGCATTACTTGAGATTACCAGATCCAGCGGAGCATCATTTCTAGTTTCTACAAACTCTACAATAAAATTGTCATGCAGTAAGTTTATAAATGTCCGCACTTTTACTGTTCCAGCAGTGCCATTATTCCAGTGAATGTCAGGATAGTTTAAATCTCCCATTAATATGAGTGTCCCTGCCCTTGCAGCCCCTTCTATCTGTTTAAGAAGCTAAGTCTATACCTCTTCAATAAACCTCTTCATGTCCTATACAAAGTATATAGAACGTGATGATTTACAGGACGGGGGAGAGAGGCTCCAGGGACCCGTCTAAGAGCCAGCCGGCTCCGAAGATCAGGTGCGTATAACTTTATTTTCCTCCTTAGACCAAAACGAGGGAGGAAACTATACAGGTGAAACTCGAATAATTAGAATATCGTGCAAAGTTCATTTATTTCACTAATGCAACTTAAAAGGTGAAACTAATATATGAGATAGACTCATTACATGCAAAGCAAGATAGTTCAAGCCGTGATTTGTCATCATTGTGATGATTATGGCTTACAGCTCATGAAAACCCCAAGAACCCCAAATCCACAACCTCAAAAAAGTAGATTATTACATGCAATCAATAAAACAAGGATTGTACATAGAACAATATCGGACCTCTGAAAAGTACAAGCATGCATATGTACTCAGTACTTGGTTTGGGCCCCTTTTGCAGCAATTACTTTTGCATGATATTCTAATTATTCGAGTTTCACCTGTATTTTCCTCCCTAGACCAAAACCCTTTAAGTGGGAGGGTAGTCCCAATGCCAGGGTTTATAATATTTCCACCCGGAGTTCTTCTTTAAAAACAACTAACCTTGAAATAGAAACTGTCCCCTCCAATTCCATAAAATTGTGACTTCTACTCATGTTAAGTTTGGGGGCACCTCCCCAGCTTTAACGTTATATTTACCTCACTTAGTATATGTGAGCTTCTTGGCAACGTGTTTACGAATGTATGCAACAACAGGAAATGAGAGACTGTTTTCATAAAACGAAGAACTCTATTTTTTTTATATGATCACTGTAACTGTGAACATATACTGTATACACTTTATACTGCTGAACTGTTTGAGTTCAATAAACAGTTGAAAAAAAAAAGTTAAAACCATCTAAGAGCAATACAAATTAATCATAGGGCCCTGTGTATTGGAAGTCTATTAATGTCTCACTGATGAGACAAAGTATATTCCTGGACTGTTTAGACATCCATATTTCTTAAAAGGCAGATGAAAGATACTGTATGAGAATGCACTGTTCCTGTGTTTTAATTTTTTTTTTTACTAATAAAATGATCTTTGTAATAATAAAAGAAAGGGATAGTCTGTAGGTCTGTGAATCCTCTTTATACATTTACCTTTTTTTGCATAGTGTAAATATACCTAAACTACACAGTGTATGAAAGTCTACAGAATTGTTTTAGTAGTACGCTTCTCATAATTCATTAGTAAACTCTAAATGATATGACCGTATTCTCACTGGAATTCCTTTACATTAAGTGTTGCCTGCCTATGCCTGTCATAGGAGAGTATGCAGATCTTCTCGCACAAATGCGCTGTCCCTTGACATTCTTTTTTTTAAGTATATATTTAGATAGAACTTTCTGAATTTTCTGAGGTTGTGTTGCTTTCTTGCCTTTTCAAGTGGTAATATTTCTTTTTATTAAACAACTTCCATGAACCATTCACACCGGATCTGTTGCATTGCTATCCATTGCGTTGTGATCCGTTGCGTTACAATATGTTTTTCAATGGACATTCACTGAAAAATGAATGTGTGAATGGGGCTAGTTCATGCCGCCTTGTTGCATTATGTTACATTGTGCTGAAAAAAAGTAGAACATGCACTACTTGTTTTCAGAGCAATTTAATGCAACAGATCCAGTGTGAACTAGCGCCCTTCACACCCATTCATTATTTGGTTGAAAAATGGATCGCAACGCAAGGGATCGGAATTAAATCAAGAGGTACAATTGTAAGTCAATGAATTCTCCATTGACTTGCGATTTCCTTTTGATTTTGGTGTGAATGCATAAGTCTTTTTTTTTTTTTTTCTGCTGAGTTTATTGATCTGTGTGCAACAATAGAACATTTAGATTTCTTACTGCATTCAAGCTTTGGCTGTTCTCTTTCAGGTAGCATTGTTGGTTACAAATGACGCTGAAGCTCACAAGGACAAGCTGCAGTTCTTTATGGAGCAGTTTTATAAGATCATCAGAAAGATGGAGTACTCTAACAAGGAACTCTCCATTGCAATTCGGGGCTATGGTCTATTTGCAGCGGTATGATTTCTGTTTTGGTTTAACCAATAGCTATTATACTACAATGTAAATCTGTTAGGAGCTTGTTTATAATGTGAATTTGTGTTTTCACTATAGATATGTTAATAGTGATTATTACTTATAGATGGTTTGTTGTACTTTGACAAGATTGTTTTAGTGCTTTGGTCGGTGTAGCTTACAACTTCAAAAATGAATGAACTTGAAAATTAAAGCATAACTGTTTTCTTGTCTTTTTAAAGCCATGTAAAGCAGTGAATAGAAAGGATGTGGATTTTATGTATATTGAACTTATTCAACGTTGCAAGCAAATGTATCTCACAGAGGCCAACACAGAAGAGGACAATGTGTTCCAGCTGCCAAACTTTCTTCAGTCAATTGCCAGTGTCATACTTCACATGGATGCTGTAAGTAACATGAACCTAAATGGTTTTATCATATGCACTAGTGCCGCTGAACATTCTGAGCATCTGTTCTGTCCTTCGTGAAAACATTTAATCACATTGATATCTTTGAGACAGTGCTCGAAAAATGCATGGTATCTCTCCTATGTGCATTTATTACCTTTTACTCCTTTCAAACCAATGAAATAAAAAGACTGAAGATTCTCTCCTAACCTCCCCTAGTTGGAGCAGATTCTAGCATAATCATAAGCTTTTTATCTGCCTTTAAGGATGATGTTAAACATACCATTAGAGCAGCAAAATTAGGCAAGGGAACCACTGCCACTAATAGTATCACTGCCTCAGTGGCCCAGAATGCTGAAGAATTTCAGTCATTAGTAAGAGATCGACATCTTACTGGCTCTAGACTCTAAGCCAGTTTTGCATAAGGCTGCACACCGCGTCTGTCAGTGTTCAGTAAACTTTGTGTGTGGCAAAGACAACCCCATCAGATCCCTCACCTCTGATGCCCTTTCCTCACTACTGGGGCCTTATTGTATGGAAAATAGAATTAGCAGGGGGTGGAGGTATTTATGTACGTGTCACAACCACTCCCATAATGTTCTTAAAGTTTTGTACAAAATCGTATTGATATACATTATTCAACCTTATCCAACGTTCATGGCTTATGTACATACTCAACAAATTTCACAGTTTGTTTTATGCATAGCTACCTGCCGCATAGTAACTGAACAGTGACACAAATGGTGTGGGGCCTTACATTATATGAATTCAGCTATAGGGAGGTGATGAGTCCTGGAATTCAGCAGGCATCCTTGGTGGGTGTGTGCAGCTTTAGATGGTCTTTGAGCATTGTGGAGTGATGAAATTATATATTTTTGGAACAAATTCCAGCTGTTTCTTTTTTGTCATTTAAATGATTATACTTTTCGGCATGGCTGCATGCTCAGCATCACACTTGACCTCCAGACTTGTTTAAAGGGTACCACCCTCTAAATCAGCCCTTCCTGGGTTTTCCTTCCCCTTCCTCTTTTCTTCTGAGTCTTCTCATCTCTGAGCTTTTCTTCCCTTTGACATTTTTCCCTTCAAAGCCTTATCTGGCACTATTACCACTAGCTCAGAAAGCATTTAAGCAAAGATCTGTCCTACCAATATTCAGCACTGAAAAGCTAAAAGCCAGCATTTCCACATGCATTTATTCCTGCTGGGTACCTAGATTAAGTTTGACAAGTTTCTTGTGGCTGTTTTCAATTGATGCGTCTTTTGATGGAGTAATTTTCAATTTATTCCTGTTGAGGATCTGTCATGTTTCTCCCCTGTCCTCCCCCTTTCCCACCAATGTTTGGGACTATATAGTTACTAGGGCTGTACTGATACCAGTATTACTAAGCGTTGATACTGTCGTGTAAAATTTTTAAAAAGGAGCAGCTGTCGTGAGGACCCGCACTTGCTGGGGATCTCTTTTACAACGCCTGTCTGGCCACACATTTCCTTCTCCTTCTCCCTGCACGTGCAGCTCTGTTGAGACGCCGTGCACAGCCCTATATTCTGCATTGTTGGGATTTGTAGTCCTCTATAGCCGGTGCCTTTCTGCCTTGCTGTAAAATATGTTGCTGGGATTTGTAGTCCCGCTACAGCTTGCTGTCCGTGGCAGAACCACCAGGGTTGCAGCTGTGACTGGGCCCTGGTTCTCCACCACTGGCCTAAAATCATTGATCTGCATTGTTTTAGAAAACCTGTCACATGACGCAAAAAAAAGTATCGGTAATTTGTATCAGCGAGTACTTGAGGAAAAGTATCGGTACTTGTACTCGGTCTGGAAAAAATGGTATCGGTGCATCCTTAATATTGGCATTCTGTGTCTTAAAGTGCCAGCTTCCAATCAAAAGTTTAAAATGACCTTTTCATGACAGAAATATAGTAGTAGCCAATTCTGCCTTAAAACAAAAGTGTTGTATAGTCCATCTGCTTTTTCATTTTTAATCATCACATATTTTTCTGCATTGAAAATGTATAATAAAATGTATCATTAGTGCTAATATTGTTGTTTCCTTCTTAAGATACCTGAAGTATACACACCTGTACTTGAGCGTCTCCTGGTTGTCCAGATTGACACATTTCCACAATATAGCCCAAAAATGCAGTCCTCTTGCTGGAAGTCAATCATTAAGGTGTTCTTGTCTCTGGCAGGGAAGGGGCCAGTGCTCTGGAGCCTGATCAGTACTGTGGGTGAGTTTTTGTATATTACTGTTAATTGAAGTGAACCTGAACTGCGTAAAGCCATGTTGTACCAGTTTACTGTAGTTCTGGCATCTGACATTTTAGTCATGGGGTGAAGGATAGCACTAGACTGGGCATCGCCCAGTGCTAACCTGAGCAGGATGTGCAGTTCAGGCCTAGGATCTAATGGACTCCACTGGGACACAGTTTAATTTCAAGGTCAATACAGGTTTTTTACAGGGACTACAAGGTTCATAATTTTCATCACTGATAACGAAAGAACCTTTTAGGTTCCTGCTATTAGCATCATAACTACATGTCTCAGGACTTTACCATGTTGATCATGCACAAGGCCAGTATATCCAGTCTTGCAAATAAATTAATCAAAAAATGGAGAATGCTGAATGCACTTTTAAGAAAGTTTCTGGTATTTTCAATGTAAAGCAGTTCTATTCCACTTGGTCTCAGGGGCTAACATCATGATACTCTTTATTTTATCCTTGCAATCGGTTACATCTCATGCTAATCCTAGTCCCTGCTAAGTAGTATTTTTCTCATAAGTTTTCGAAAAGCTTTTTAGTAGCAAATTAAATAAGAGAATAACGAGATTAAAAACAATTAGGTTTAGGGGACAGTTTACAGTTGCTTTAATGCCAGAGATAAGTTAGTTATGTCATGAGTTTTAACAAACAATAATGTAGCCTAATGTATACATATTTTATAACCGATCGCCTGATATTTGTAGCTTGATGGCCATATGTAGCATACCAGGTAACAAGGATCACCTCAGGAGACATCATTTGTAGCACATGGCACACAGAAAACATTTGTTAATAATTTTACAAAAAAGGTGCGTTTCATAATGCTGCAAAAAAGAAGGCTGATTCGTAAAAGCTAGAGAAGAAAAAATAAGTGAAGTTATTGTCTATAGCAAAAATTCAGGTTTTACCTTTCTTTAGAAAAATGAAGAACTCTAAATTGGATGCTATTGTTAAAAACTCCACATTTTCTTTTCTCCTGCTTTATATATTCATGTATATAGGAACCCTCCCCTTGTTTTCATGCTTGTGACTAGTGTATAATGCAGTGGGTGTTCAGACATAAAAGTACATCTGCTAAGAAGTATCTCTGCTCCCTTTCATGCTGTTCCTGACCACAAATGTGGCTCACAAACTTCTGTGTCAAGATCTTGTGTTATGTTTACCACATTAGCAACAGTAATATATAGGCGGAGTTCTGTGAATAGATCTATACTGGAATTATAAAAGAATGCCAATGAATTTTCAGAATACTATGTCCCTTTCTGTGAAAAACCACATTTTTCGGGAGAGACAGAACATCTGTCTGGACCACATATGAGCTATGTCAAGTGAAACGGCAAAATACACAACTGAAATCAAACACAGGACAAAATAAATAGTTTATACTTGGCAATCTAAATAGCTCTCCAGTTAGCAACAATTAACATTTTTGAACTAATGCTCTTTAAACAACAGTATGTGTTGATGGTATGTTCAGATATATTGCCGTAACTACTGTTATAGCTTGACAGCTGTTTAAGCTTTATTTGTATTGTATTCTGGAATATAGTCCTGCCCAACCCCTGTTTCTTTAATCCTGTATTTTTAATTTATAGATGGAGAAAAGATAAGTGATCTCATAGAGGGGATATATGTATTTGAGAGTTTTCTTGCAGTCCAGAGATATACAGTAAACTCCCCATTATCCGGCATTGATGCAACCAGCAAATGAAATCAAGGGCATATGTCCTCCATTTTATTTTTGGGCCAGTGGCTTGATGCACACTAACAAATGTAGTTATAAACGAAATGTATTGAGTTGCCCAATAAATTCTTTGTTTACATCTTGCTGCTGGCCAGGGGCTAGATTCCTTGGTCACCAGCATTATGTATACAATGGGGAGCACTAGCCAGTCTTCTATTGGCTGTTAAATTGCGGGCTGGCTATTGTACCTGCCCACTGAGCAGAGGGGCGGATCTGAGAGAGAACTTTCTCTCTTAGGTCTGCTCAGTGGGCAGGGTTTCAATAGCCAGCCTGCTTTTGCAGTTTGCACCGCTGAAAGGGGGGGTGATGCTTGCTTGAGAGTTACTATAAAACTATGTTAGTAAGTTGCCTTAAAGTACCAGTCTACCAAAAATGAATATTTCTATTTTTGGTAGATGCTAAAGAGTTTAAACTCTTCACCGTTTCTCAAATCTTTCTGGAATTTTGTTGGTAATATATCTGTGCTTGAGTTCCTGTTTCTACACACATACTGTAGCCATTGTGAGGGGTTGTCACTGTCTCTTCTGGTTTTGTTACTTGCATCATTTATTATGGAGCATGCATCAAGAGGTACTGCACCATGCAAATGTTTGGTGGGAATACGCAAAACTCCCAGGTAGTGTGCAACAGAGAAAACAAGGAAATCTCACTGTTGGGGCATCAGGGGCTGACCACTAGTCTCCACATGTAACTTAAAAGTCACTTTTGGATGGCATGACTCTTCGTCCCCGTTCACACCAGGGCGTTTGTAGCTCATATTTTTCAGCACGGAAAAGCTCTGCACAAAAAAATTCTTTTGATTTCTATAGTCCCAGTTTATGTCTCAGCATAGCTTCGCGCTGAGAAAAAAGCCGGTCGCTGAAAAAAAAGTACATAAGCTTCTTTTTTGGGCAGATCAGCTCGATTAGGAATAGGAAAAAGGGTCACATCGCACTGATCTCCCCAATCAGAGGCACATACTTACAGGCTTGTACGGAGCTTTTCCGTGCTGAAAAATATGGGTTACAAACACCGGCGGTGCGAATGGAGACTTAGAGACATAGTTATTAGGTTTTAGTTGTTGCACTTCAGTTCACTGAAAAAAATATAATTCAAAATTTGACTTCTCAAATTTGTAGACAGAAATGTACATGCATAGAGATCAGCATTGTCCCTCCCAGCAGTGCCTCACTTCCCTCAAGCTCACAGGCCCTACAGAATAGGGAGCATATTTTTCTTAAGTGTTTGAACAAAAAGCAAAGTTCACCTTTTTCTTCATAAATACTTGTTGGATATAAGTTACTGATTTGCAATTTTGCCCAAATATTTTTTCAGTGCACCAAGGATTAATTCGAGTCTGTTCCAAGCCAGTCATATTTGAAAAGGTAATCATTAAAGTATTACTACATTTTAGAAGAGCATAGTTTATATGTAAATTTGACACATCACATTACTGCATGATATTTTCGGACAATCTTTAACTCTTTCTTTGAATACAGAATTATTTTTGTTTTTTTATTATATTATTGGACTTCCGACAACTGTCCGCACATTTAGGGATTCCTGCATTGGTTCCAGTGGCTACTCTTCCTTTAGTCCAGCTGAATTGTTTTTCTCCTTTTGGATCTTCAATAGATATATACATTAAAGAGTCTGGACCTGCGTAATGTCTGTAACACTTCAATATGTTTTTTGGGTATAATTTGGCCTTCTGGTAGCATTAACTTATTTGTAACGTGATCTTTCTGATAATATGGGCTTGACATCTGTGGTACTGAAAACTTGGCTGTCACATGCCCCTTTTCATAATGTGGTGCTTCTAGTAACAAGGCACCTCTAGTGCTGTATGTTTTCTGGTATCTTGGCATGTCTGGTTTTGTAACCCCTTTAGTGAGAAGGGCCTCTGGTAATTGTGATTTAATTAGCTTTTTTTTTCTTCTCTAGGGCCCAGTCACACCATATCCAGTGTGTTCCGGTGTTTTGGTCAAGCCTGGAACGCACTGCACTGCATAGATCAAGCTGAGCAGCATTCTGGGTGGGAGGGAACGTGTCAGTACCATTCATGTCAATGGCACCCCAGACACCCCCCCGGCCCGCAATGTGATCACCCGCACTGAAACGTGAGGTACAGGAATGCCTTCCATTCCAGTGCAGTGCGATCGGGGAAAAAATCCTGTATCTCACGTTCTTGTGCGGGCTTGAGAGGAATGCCACCAACACGCACCCTCCCACCCCAGAACGCTGCCCGGCTTGATCTTTGCGATCTAGTGTGTTCCGGGCTTGGAACGCACTGGATATGGTGTGACTGGGCCCGTAAATAGATAAAGAAATGCACTAATAACTATTATTGAAGAATCTTGGGAATAAGGCTTTAGAAAGACAACTCATGCTGTACAGCAGAGTAAATGATATATATGTGTTTGGATTTTGGTATAGGGACTTGGGTTCTTTGGTATGTCCATAAAGGAAATAAAGTAAATCAACAAAAAATAAATGCCCAGTTATCAGTTTATGTAGTCTTGAATGTACAAAAGGGATTCTGAATGTGATAATGCTTAGCTTTCATAAAATGTTTGAACCTATGCTGTTGTAGGATGAATATGGAAAAGATGGTTCAGGTGGAATGGAAGCTTTTGGTGAAGTCCGGACAGGAAAGTGGAGAATTCCTACCTTCAAAGACTATTTGGATTTATTCAGAAGTTTACTCAACTGTGACCAGATTAAGGTATGGGTTCCTGTTTTCATTCTGCCATATTTCTTTGTAAGTGAAATAATGTTAATGTCCCTGTGTTTACTGAAGGCTTATGTCCACATCTGAGATCATGCCTAAAGCAAGGAAAGATCACTCGTGCTAGTCTATCTCTGCATGAACCCCAGTCTATTATTCATTGCAAGCACACAAACTTCACCATACAGCTAGAGCAGAAATTGTTGCACCAAAAGACAAAAAAGCAGCAATGCCAGTTCACAGCTCTAAAACATTGTATTTGAATGAGTATATGAACTGTAATATTTAAGTTTAATATTTTATGTTCTATTTAATAACTAAGTTATTATGAGTGTTTGAGTATATGAAACATCCAAATAAATTATTGCTTATACGTTTACTCTCTGAGGCTTGTAACCAAACCGATGCTATGCATGCATTATTATATCTTCTTTATGTTCTAGGATACCATATTCTCAGATGAAGTAGTCCAAACTGTAAATTCACCTCTGCAGTCTCTGAATAGATTATTGTATGACGAACTTATAAAATCTGTTCTGAAAATTATTGAGAAGTTAGACCTTACACTCCAAAAACACGATCCTGGCCAATTGGTAAGTAATTCTTTACACATCTATCATTAAGGAAGAATCTGGGCACACTCCATTCCACTCTGAATCCGTTTATTGATCATTCGACGTTGACACAGAGTCCTGCCCAAGGTCCACCCCTCTGATGTGTTTCAACCATTCATATTACTAAGCCCAGGATTTGGTGAAACATTTCAGATGTGGCGGATCTTGCGCAGGATTCGGTGTCACTGACAAATTCTCAATAAACTGATTCAGCGGAGTGGAACGGAGTGCTGCCAGATTCCTCCTTTACTCTATACCTGTTTGATTTGAACATGGACACACTCTTGCTGGCGAGCAGCCAGCTGTCTTTCTCCTGCTAGCCATGCAGGAGCGTTGCTTTATTCCTATGCCTTGGTGTAATAGATAATTCATGTTAAATAGATGTAGGCACGTGTCTGATTAGATGTTCATTTTTATACTTATAAAGTAGCTGTAGATTTTAAAACATTTTGAGGAGATTTCATTTTTTTCTCCCCTA